GCCATGGAAAATCCAAGACTAGTTGGCAGCCAGCACCAAATGCAACCACTTTGTCTTGGGTGATGAGACTCAGCTTGCCTCAGCCAATGTGTAGGACTATAATGAGCACAGTGAGCATGAATGTGAAGCCAAGCATGCTGTGGCTTTAAAGGACTAGGCCTCAAAAAGGCACTGGTCCTCCTTGTGATACTTCATGGGTACCCTTGTCAAAACAAAGATGGGTGAGAAGGCTAGGTCACAGATAGGTCCAGGCCATGAAGATAATGACAGTACAAGTACACAAAATTGGGTGCCTATTATAAATACAATAGTGTGTGACAGTCGTGATGCTGACATGGGACAATATTAAGTTCACATGGAAACAACAGAGATTGGTCACGTAGGCCACAATCTTGCAGCTGAGTCCACTGAACATCCCAAGGAGCCAAAGTGCACAAAAAAGAAGGCAAACAGCAGAGTGCCCATTGCTGGCCTAAGCACAGGTCCACTGGAGGCAGAAAGGAGTCTTATGCAGGTGCCGTATCCCAGGGCAGGACCTTAGTCAGGCTAGAACCTGTAGGGCCTAGGAGAGGCCTCTGTGGGACCCCTTCCTAGGCCTCATCTGATTCTGGAGGCCCTACACCTCAGCAAGTAATGCTGCAGGAGGTTGGGCCACAGGTCATCTTTAATGATCTGGGAAACCCTGTCAGCCTCTGGAAAGCTGTGCTATGAAAACCAGCTGAAGAAGCTTCAGGGTCGAGGTTCTGCTGTGCTGGGGCAGGGGGTTCCTGGCCCCAGTGCCATCTGATAGTTGCAACTGATACCACCCGGCCTGAGGATCTACACTCATACTTCTTTACTATCACCTTATTTCGGAAGTAGGGGTTGCTCCAAAAGCGGAACTTTTACTTGCAACCTTTCCTGGTGTGTCTGAGCTCCCTCATCAAGTTCATCAGGGAGCAGAGCATGACTTCATCTTGGGGGGCTGATCATGGTTGCCAGCTGCGGGTCGTTCAGGAAGGCAGTGACCCCAAAACCCGGAGTATTTTGGATGATGAAGCTCCGAGCTAAGCGCAGCAGGCGCATCCTCCCGAACCTGCGCTAGAGCTGTTGGTATGCGCTGTCAGCCTGGCCACTCGTGGCTTCCAGCTGCCACTGAATGGCCTCCAGTGGGTCCACAATTAGGCCCTCAAGGTGCAGGGGCACCAGATGCCCCTGGGTCTCTACGTCCACCTCCAACTTCTCCTGCCCGCCCCCCCCCCCAGCTGCTTCTCCCCCCACCTGTTGATTCCCCACCGCCTGCGCTGCCTTCTCCAAGATGGCGCCCTCCTCAGTCGTCACTTCCTCGACCTTCCCACCGGCTCCCGCCGTCACCTCCCACTGCCCTGCGCCTCAGGTTTCCGCGGCCTCCTTCCCGCCCGGGCCAATTTCCACGCTCGGGGCAGTGACCGCGGGGGGCCATTTCCTGACGTCCTAGGACTGATGGGAAGGTCTCGGGTCCCCCTGCAAGTCGAGATGCCCGTGTTCCGCCACTCCTGGGGTCCAGGCCGCGGGGGCCAGGCGCGGACTCCCCTCTTGCGCGGGCCAGGGCGAGTGGCACGGCGGTTTCCAGGGCCCCTGCCCTCTCGTGCGCCATCGCCTGAGAGACGCTGACTACAAGGGCTCAGGATTTGCCGCTAGACTGCAAACTCCTGCGACAGGGGCAGGGCGGCGGAGGAGAGTGGTCTCTTCCTTTGGGGCACGCCCTCCGCGTCCCCGTCCCCCCCCCCGTTCCTTCCGTGTCTGATTCGCTACGATCCCTTTGCTGGGGGTGGGGGTGGGGGTAAGAGCCTAGACTAAGGATCTAGACGAGTTCTGGCACAGAGGCAGAGGGCTGCCCGGTGGATTCCGGGCTGCTCGGTGGATTCCTCACTGCCAGCGCCTAACAGAGCTGGCGCAGATGGAGGAGGTGGCAAGAACTCCAGGGGAGGTGGACCGAGCAATAGGCAGCACGGAGCAGACACAGGGTACAGGCCCAAGCCCTAGTCATGGTTATGATTTCATTACAGCCACCACGCCAGGCAATGTCCCTTGCAGGGTCTCACACTCGAGTGCTGCCTAGGGGCAGCTGTAGGTCACTTGCAGCTTTGTGTGGGTTATTCAGGCACAAGCAGAAGGCCCAAGAGGTGTCCCTTAGAAGGAATGTCCACAAAGTGTGAGCCTCAGGTAAAGGTAGCTGTTGGGCACACGAAGGTGCTTGAAATATTTATGTGGAGAAAGGATAAAACAAGATCAGAGCACAAGGCTCTGAGGCAAGTAAAGGTCTTAAACCACTACAAACCAAGGAAAAAGCATCTGCTCAGTTTCCAGAGGAGCTGGATGGCTGAAGCTGGGTGGACCTTGCTTCACTCTGTCGTAGGCCAAGAGGCAACCCTTTGCTCAGTACTAGCCACAAAGGTGGACTGAAGTCCAGTCTGTACTTGTGTAGACAAAAAGCCTGGATGGACCACCCTCTACAATCCATGATCCTGTGCAGATGTGGTCTCAACCCTAACAGTGTGGTCTATGGAGATCAGTATACCTCATACCCTCATCTCTGTTTGGAAGCCAGTCAGCTCCACAAAGCCTTCAGCCTCTTCTGCCCAATGAACACAATAGTTCTTTATCTGGGTCCCTAAGACTTATCCTGGGGCTCACAGCATCCAGAGAGCAAGGGGGATTTCCTTTAGGTTCTAGCTGGGATTCTGACCCACAAGGACGGACAGTGAACATTTGGCAAGTAGAAAGCCAGAAACGAAGGTTCAGCCCATTGCCCTTGTACAACAAACACTGGCATATTAATACTTGTTAACAGGGCTGGGAATTTAGCTCAGTGGTCCTGCCACCTGCCTGGCAAGCGCAAGGACCAGAGTTCGATCCCCAGTACCAAAAAAACCCTAAACAAATACTTATTAATGTCCTCAAGAGTTCTTAGGCTGGACTCCAAGTGACTTGCACTACTTGGCTATGGCCACTGGATCCAGACCACAGAAAGGTTAGCCCATTATGGAAGTATCTCAGCAAAAGAAGCGGGGCCCAGGATGGGGACAACTACCTCTGTCAAGAGACTGGCAAGGAATAAAGCTGGACAAAGCCATGTTGGCCTCTCAAGTCTAAGCCTGGTAGTTGGGCACAGATGTAGGTAAGGCAAGGTCTTGGCTTTGTCACCAGCTGTACATCCTGGGTAGTTGGTGACTATGATAGACATTTATCTTTTCTTTTTTTGGTACTGGGGATCTAACTCGGGACCTTGTGCTTTCGAGGCAGGCGGCAGAACCACTGAGCTAAATACCCTGCCCAACATTTATCTTTTCTTGAAGAACTAGCATTCATTTCTCATCCTAACAGTACTTCAAGTTCACACTGAGAAACTACTCTTCCCCATGTCTGTCTTGTCACTGACAACTGGTTTAGTAGGGTGCAGAACACCAGGAAATCTAATGAAATGAGGTGCTTCCTGGGGCTTCTGTGAATAAAAGCACTCCTCTCTCCTAAAAGCCCAGGATCTCCTATTTGTCAGCACTGTGTAAATGACAAGTCTGGAATTATGGCAGCATTCCACTCTTCCACAAGGGGAGAACCTAGGTAGGGCATAAGGATGAAGTCACAACTACACAAGACAGGGCAGAAAGAAACAGGAATGCTGAAGCCAACTATATTTGAGCCTCTGGATCAAACCCAACCTGAAGATTGCACTATATCTGGTGTTTCCAGTTACATGAAACTTCACTGTTTAAAGCCAATTTGATCTTGGTTTTTTGACTCTTGTATTCAAGAACTGGCAGAATGACACATAATACTTACCAAAGACATCCAATTAAGATGTTTCATTTCCAAGTACAAAGCTTATGTTAATGTGAGCATTTGTTCTTGTTTGCCCTACACTCACAATTGTCACCCTTGGATGCTAAGATGTCTAGTGATTTCAGTTCTTCCCAATTCCAGGCTTCCTCCAACCCCTTTCCCAGACAGGTTCACAACTCCCAAACACATCATTCAGAAGTTTTTAATAAACAACTTCATTATAAAACTTTTTTTTGAAAATGTAATTCTGTAAAACATTGAAAAAATCTACCTTAACAAAGATAACGCCCTGTGCATTTTCTAATGGCACTTATTTTACAATTAAAAACCTTGTTTTATATAAAGCCAAAAATACTCCAAGAGGTTATTCACTGTGTTTACAAAGTGCTAGAAGATTTTTGTCTTGTATTTTTCTCTCTTTAAATAATCTGGCATTTTGAAAGTGGCCTCAGCCTCAGCCACTCGGAGGGAGGAAAGAGTGTGAGAAGTGGTGTTCAGGCATTCATTCTAGTGCTGAATACGCAGAGGTGGAGAGGTGTGGAGAGGTGTGGGGAGGGGGAGTCAGCTGAAACCAGAAGCAACTGGACTGGGACGCTTCCACACCCCTCCGGAGGCACTAGGTTATCACAGTGAACACCCCTTTCCCTCGCCACAGGCCCTACTCTCCAGTAGTGAAGGTCATGGCCAATTCCTTCCACAGCAGGTTCAGAGTGCCAGGAGAGGTCAGGGTGGGAGTCCCAGAGGAATCTGGACTTTTCTGGCCAACACCTGCCTAAGGCAAAGTTTCTTATTACATAAATATCCTTGTTAAAAAGCAAAATATTGATCCTGTACAATATTACCTGTTTTAAAAAGTCGTGCTTAAAAACAGCTCCTAGATGAGGGGAGATTGAGGAAGGATGGAAAAAAACAGCTACCAATAAGGAAGGGGGTGGATTTAAGGGATACTAGGAAAAGTTTAGAGCAGTGGGAAAATTTCAACTTAGGACAATATCTATGAGCAAAAAAGTAATCACACCTGCTTCCTGGATTTCCATCAACAAATGCCATTTGTAAAAAGTTGCGGGGGGCGGGGGTACCTCATTGATGCACCTTTCCCTGCCTCCACCTCTCTGAGATAGAGCAGAAATCCTTTGAGCTAACACATAGGGATGCCAGCCCCTGGGCCCAGGACTGTACTCAGCCCTGAGCAGCTACCATGCAGGGTGGGAGGTGCCCGCCCCTGAACAGGCCAGCTTACTGTTGACAGAGGCTGGAGCATGGCTGCAGAAAAGAAACATCACTCCTCTTTTCTGGTCCTTGGTCTGTTCCACATGCCGTGGCTCCAATCCTGGCAGGTGCCCCTCAGGCTCTCTTGGCTTCAGTAGGGATACTGAAGCATGCCTGGGTACTGAGTACAGGATAAATCTACTCTTATCCTTTTAACAGCCTGACCTCCCCCACGAAAGGGGGGCTTGGAACAGAGAGAGGCTTAAGAAACAGCAGGGTGGCTATGGTCCATAAAAGGTGAAGGCAGATAATGTTCCTCTGCACCAGCAAAGTTCACAGTGACAGGAAAATTCCTTGTGATGGTGAAAGCACTGAGAAGAGGAAAGGAGAGGCAGGAAGGAAGAGGGAGATGGGAATGAAGGATGGCTGGGGAAAAGACAAGAGATAGGGACAAGGCCCAAGTACAACATTTTAAATAGCTGTTCTGCCTGTCCTGTGAGTTGCAAAGCATCCCTGTGGAGGGATTCAAGGAAGGGGCAGGAAAAAGGCAGCCAGACAAGACTCCTCTAACTGCTCAGGACTTTATATTCTGTGGCCAAGTGCCTATCTGCCTCTAGAAACTGAGGGTGCAGGGAAGACAGCAGGCAAGGGAAGAGGGTTGCCGGGTCTACTGAAGATCAGATATGAGAATGGCAGCAGCAAGTCCTGCTTGGATTCTCACATACCATTTCCTATAATATGAGTCCCAATAACATGCACAGCATGCAGGAGGTGGGTGTGTACCAAGGTAGACACTCTTACACTTTTTTTTTTTAAACAAACTTAATTAGTCCCCGGGACTCACTGAAACTAATGTTTAGAAGCAAATCATCTAGACTGATGTTAACCTTGCCAGACATTTTTATATCTGGTTTTACTTTTGAAAAAGTATCCCAAGCTACCTTGCCTAAATCAAAACAGTTAATTATTCACTCTGTATTGCCTCCAATCAAGGGCCAGAGAGCTAAATTTTAAGGTTTTCACCTCAAATAAGGATGCTGGCCTGGGGTAAAGCAGAAGCCTAGGTCTTGACCTGCTCAGTTCCTGATGATAGATGGAAATGAGTCTCAACAGAAGTGGGCCGGAGGTCTGGTAGGAGGGTGAGGCAGTTCCTAGGTAGTTTATCCTGAAACTCTAGTGGAGAGGCCAGCATGAGGCACCACCGACAGAAGTGCCCAGAAACTGCTGGCTGCATCTGTACAAGTTAACAGTAAAGAGGTAGAAGTGTGTTTCTGAATCAGAGAGGAGGTATCTCAAGAGGGTCCCTACCACAGTAGTGGTCCCTGAGCTGCCTCCTTCCATGCGTGGGGAGAGCCCATGTGGAACTGAGATGAAGCAGGCTTTGGGGTCTGGCTGGGTTCTGGGTAAGGGCTACACTGTCTGCCAGGGAGCCCTGTAAGTCAAGAGAACTAATCACTTCTTACAAAAAACATTGTTAGATAGTAGGGGCAAAACTGAGAGGGACCATGAGAAGATGGTAGAAGTTCTTAGAAGCCTATACACAGTGGCCCTGTGTCCATGGGGACTGCAAAGTGGAAGAGATGAAAGGACACTGTGGATAAGAAAATTTTTGGTATGAGAGACAACAATGATTAGATTGATTAGGACTCAACTATGTGTCCAGTCCTAGCTTTCTGACAACAACTTCTAATAATTCCACAACTTCCTGAAAAACGGGCAGGCAGGAGAGACAAATGAGGGGCTCATTCCCTCTCTGCTGTTCCCACCAGCCTAAAACCCAGAGTCCCTTCTTCCAAGACAAATAACAACAGCTCATAATATTCTGAGTGGGAATTAAGGAATGGGGAGGTGATAGATATGGGCATGCCTTCCATTTCTTCCCCTCTCCAGTTCAAAAGGGTGATGAGGGGGTCATGATGGACTTGGAGAAAAACAGACCTGTGAGAAAGCTGCTCCAATCTTCTTGCCTGTCTCTTGTGGACACTGCCAAGGAAGGCAGGAACAGATGCAGTCATGGAAGATGGCAGAAACCGAAGCAATCCAAAAGTCAGTTTATTTCCCCACGGGGGAAAAACGTGACCTCAAGTGAAGAGAAGTCAGCAAGACCCGACTCCGCCTTGTAAACAGGGCTCCAGTTAACACCAGGTACCAAGTGGTTCTGACTGGTGCCAACTGAAATGGACTGGTGGGAATAGATTCATGGTGTGTAAACAGTGTTCACTGCAATCACTCTAAGGCTAACAGCGTGGCAAGGGAGGTGAAATGGTGTGTCTGAGACGAATGTGTAAACGGTACCGTTGCTGGACAACACTGACTGAAAACAGAGCTGTTGGTATAGTGGGGATGGCGACGGTCAGGAAGAATAGAAGCCTTCTCTCCTTCCTGCTGCTTGGAAGCAGGTGCTGGAGCCAAGTGACCTTCCACAGCAGGGCTTTGGGGTCTAAAGGCTAGGACAGACAACAGGTGTCTTCAGCAATTTCTCTTGAGGTCATCCAAGGTGAACCCTCTGTGTCTCCAAGAGGCCTCCCCTTCCTCCAAAGAGAAGGAGGTTCTGATGCTTTGGCGAAGTCGAAGGCTAAGTGTGGCTCCCAATTCAGATTAAAAAAAATAAAAGTAAAAATACCTGAAAGTCCTATGGTAGATCTTTCCACAGCGCTGGGGCTCAAGGCTCCCCCTGGAATCAATCCTGGAGCCCAAACCCTCAAACCAAGTGCTCCATACAGACACTGGAATTTTTGCTTTTTGAACCCAGCTCTGAAAGCTCAGCTGCCTTTGTGGGGGAGGCGGAGAGGGAGGGTACTCAGGCTCTGTGACAGACCAAAAACTGAGCTGAGAGCCTCTGTGGGGGCTACTGGAATGCTTGGTGGAAATGAGGCAGGGTGGTAGTACTCAGGCCAGAAGTGAAGACAGGAGGCAAGGAGTGCAGAGGCCCGAAGTTCAGTGGTCCCCCAGTTCCTGGGGAATCTTGAGGCTGAGCTTGCAAAGTGGTGAGCAGGGGCTGTGCCTCAGCCTGGGAGTAGCCCATGACCAGGCTTCCTGTGGCCCCAGGTGGGTTACATGGGGGCAGATTGAGTGGAAGAAAGCCCAGTAAGTGGGAAAAGTCCACATTAGCAGCGCAGAGGGCCTCAGAGAGGTTGGCGGGGCTCTTGGTGAGCAGTGCTTCATCTAGGAGGGCC